TTCAGGCAACTCGTCCAACACGGCCATCTCTCATTGAAGCGAGAGTTTTTTTGACTTGTTTTTGTTTGTTAACTGCTGTTTTTGGCCGCAGTTCGCCTTGCGAATGTTTCACAAGAATGCTGGGTTGTGAACAAAACTTTCGCCCCAGGCGGGACTAGAACCCGCACCTCTCGCTTTCCGGGCAAGTGCGCTACCAGTTACGCTACCGGGGCACCATTTCATCCCATGGTGCCCCGGTAGCGTAACTGGTAGCGCACTTGCCCGGAAAGCGAGAGGTGCGGGTTCTAGTCCCGCCTGGGGCGAAAGTTTTGTTCACAACCCAGCATTCTTGTGAAACATTCGCAAGGCGAACTGCGGCCAAAAACAGCAGTTAACAAACAAAAACAAGTCAAAAATGACACCACCGACAAGAGGAGCTGCTCCTCTGAAGAATATGTCGGGTTTTTCGTTTATGCGGGCCGGGGTTTCAGATTTTGATACGGTTATACACAATGTTGATTAAGAAGAATACCAACTGTTTTACCAGAAGTGACTCAAATTTTTTTTATCACGGATGGTGTAACTTTCTTTCAGATTCATTCGATCCATATTCGCATGGTTCGTGATCGAGAAACAGATAAATTTAAAGGATTTGCTTATGTGGAATTCAACAGTGCTGAAGATTTGGAGAAGGTTTTGGAATGGAATGGCGTGGTAATTCAGATTTGAAATCTGCCATCTATAATTCTCATACCATCATAATGATTGAAGGAATATGGTGGTCGCCCTCTCAAGATCGATGTCGCATCGCAACGACCAGGTGATCGTGGCGGTCGTGGAAGAGGTGGTCGTGGTGGTGGTGGATGGACTCCGGTAGATCATCGTGGACGCGGCAGCGGTGCACATGGTGGTCGTGGTCGACCTCGTGGACATTCAGATCGCATCCATGATGAAGAGGTTGAAATTGGTAGGCCATGACTTGTACTGCCTCTCGGTTACAGTTGTTCAAGGGATTCTCGTTTATACTACTAATGTGGCGGTGGTGGTGTTGGTAAGATTCCGCTTACAGCGCGCACTATTCAGGAGTGAAATTCCGGCATAAATTTCATTTAAAACAACAACCCTAGATCAAATTGTTGGAGTAGCAGCGGTCGATACCGAGACTCAAAATGAAAAAAAGTAAAGGAAACCGCTCTTGAAGCCCTCAACTAGGACCCCTTTTTGTTCATCAGGGACCTGTCTAGACGAGTTTAGATGAACCCAGCCGCATCAGTGTGGTGTTTGTGTCATACCTTTTGAATCTATCGTCTTCCTATTCTCTGCGTCGCAATCCACGGCGCGTGCATTCTCCACCACTAGCATAGGATGTGTCGATCAAAAGGTGGACGGTCCAAAGTTGGTGCCTATCCAACGTCCCTTAGCGAGACAGGGTGAGTTTTTGCTTCAACGGCACTTCATATCTTCTGGAGTAGGGCCAGTGTATTTTTTTTTCACTAGATTAGCAATTGTATATGGTCTGGGGTTGTTGTTTCAAGTCAACCATGCCTCATTTATCGGGGTACGTAAATTGGTATTAGGCTAGCTTGGGAAGATAAGATCACTGGCTTGCACGTACATTTCACAAGTCAGGTCATCACCTTTAAAATAAATGTCACGACGATCTCGAGTGGAAGTCGGCATGGCTCATCTCGAGGAGGAGTGACCAGCGCTGCATGTTTCATCGCTAGTGTAGTAGGGGAGGGAGGGGAAATCGTGGCGCAGAACATGGAAGACTCAAAAACGACAAATATTTCCACTACAATTCGTGCTCACAAGGAAAGGCTCTCAGGTCGCCATGGCCATTCAAGAAATGATGTATACCACTAGATGTGCCTTTGAACGCTGATCTCAAATCTACCTTCCAAATCTGCTAAACGATTCTCTGAAGGGAGTTATGAAGCAAAACAGCGCAACGGTAGTGGTCGGGATTTGCAGTCAAAACGTCGTAGGATCGGCCCCTGATCGCGTCTACTGTTTTGCCTTCTTCAGAGTACAGCTAAAAGGCTTTTAATAGCCTATTTAGCCTAATTCCTGAAGAACGCAAGACAGTAAACGCGATCAGGGGCCGATCCTACGACGTTTTGACTGCAAATCCCGACCACTGCCGTTGCGCTGTTTTGCTTCATAACTCCGTTCAGAGAATCGTTTAGCAGATTTGGAAGGTAGATTTGAGATCAGCGTTCAAAGGCACATCTAGCGGTATACATCTCTTCTTGAATGGCCATGGCGACCTGGGAGCCTTTCCTTGTCAGTTCCCTTCCTTGCCTATGCAAAATGGATCACCCTTACCAGAGTTTCCCGCCATGCGAGAAAAGCGTCACTGTTGTTGCGAACTACTGCGCCGCTCCTCCCTAGTACACCAGCGCTTTTCTTCTTTCATAATGCTTATACATATAATGTTCAGTTGAACATCCCGAGCGCCCGCGTTTAGTCTTGAAACCACGCACAACTGATCCAGCTGAACTGGAGGCAAAACGGAAGCGAGAGGCTGAAGAAGAAGCTGCACGCCGTGCAAAGCTTTTCCAGGTGTAGGCGTTAGGCTGCCTTGTATCAATTTGTGAATCAAATTTTGTTGGAGTTTAAGGGTACAGAATGTGTTTCCAATAGCATACGCCTTATAATGAAAACTAACAAATGCTACTTTCCGGTGATCATTGAGATAGATATATATGTGTTCTTTCGAAATTTTATTTTAAATGCTACTTCATTAACGTAGGATAACTGTAGACTCGGTTCCATCCCTTATCTCATCATAGTTGCGCTTCATCGCTTAGAAACAGCTAGTGCTTGTCTCGCTCATCAACACAAGGTAGTTCATTATCCAATCCATGGATCGCGATGTGGATTTATACAGCAGCTCACTTCTTTAGCTCTCACAGACATTGAGTTATTTAATGTTGACCGGATATCGAATCGATTTTCAAATTTTGGTGTTTGGTAGTCCCACATGAGTTCATGCCTAGTTTTACCTGTAAACTTCCTTAAAATACAGTGAAATAGTCTAGCACCGACCAAATGTGAAGTATTTTCGATAGATTGTCGTAGTTATTGTGAAGATTTCATGGCTCGATCTTTCCGTAGAAATTGGTAGTCACTTCATTCATTTTACCAGTCATAATGCTTTGAGCAAGTTTTAATCAATTTCAGTTGTCTGTGCAGATTTCTATGATTTCACTGGCATACCTCACCGGTAGCTGTGAGAGTTTTGTGTTAAGGTGGCTTACTGTTGAAATTGACCGGCGCTTAATCATGTTTTTCTTTGAATTTGATGCCGGTATTGGAATTTCAGGTTATGAATTCTATGTGTTCATGTTTACAATTGATTCTTATGCAGAGTGTTTCATAAATATTAATATTATTTTGTCTAGCACACGAATATTCTACCAAGTGCATCTGTGAATGAAGTGTGGTTTTCTTTTTTTGCCTTTCTGATATAATTGTACCCGTCGCAAAAATACCTGCTTAAGCAATATTATGTCAAATTGATACGTAATCAGACTTTCATGTGGGTTTCAACAGAAATGATCGCTCAGGTTTCACGATGGTTTCGGAAGCAGATGTTTTAGAAAGAATATCGGACAAGCTCACACCTAGTCATTTGGTGAGGCTTTTTTTAGTGGAAATTCCTGCTTATGCTACCTGTGATCCTAAAAATTTTAATGAAACGAAGGGTTGTTAATGTGACTCTTACGATTTGGATAGGCGTGTAAAGACTGAGGCATGCTTAATGCAACAATTCCATTGAATTGGTGATAACAGCGGTTGATAATGGTGGCGAGAAAAGGACGTGTCTTAACGGGTCTCTTGAGCTCAATCTCATCAATGCGATACACCTATCATATCTATCTACCCATCGACTATCTTGTCCGCTACGTTGTAATCCACGTTGCATGCTAGGCCTATAAGTTCACATTAACCGCCATCAGATTACTTTGTAAGGCCCTAGCGCCATGGTCGCGCACTTTTGAGCCGCGATAACGGCACAGCTGTGATTCTCATGTGCTACTCTATCCCACTCACAGAATAATTTCTTCGAAGTTGAGTGCTTGAAAGCGTGAATTCTTTGTTCTTATGACGCATCTTGAAAGTATAACTGGTGTTTCAAATGTGGGATACACAACTGTCAGCGCATAGACACTTTAGCCGAGCAATGATCTTCAAAAGTTAAACTGCCTTGCTTGGCAACCATAGCAACAGTCTATCTATTACATGGCCTCATTCCTAAGTTCATGACAGCAACTGGTTAACGGGATAGATTTTACAGCATCAACATAACTTTCAATATCGATGATAGCGACGCTGAGTGATCACTGCTTAGCGAAGAGAA